TAACCCTTTAACCACCAAATAAATCCTCATATATGCAGCCAGAGTACCACACATTATCCTTTCCCATTGTCCCCCTAGTTGGCTGAATACATCCCCCAAAATCAGCCCAAAAGAAGGCCATTCATTCCCCCTGGTTTGCTTTTCATTGGAGGCCCTACAACCACACCCATCCCTGATTTTATTCCAATAAAAGGACCTCAAAACATGGCTGATATTTCATGGATTTGAGAGAGGATGTTGCTAGGAAGCTTCCTTATGTTCACATTCATTGCATTGTGTATTATTTCCCCCTTCCCTTGCCTATATAACTCAGGTCTTATGGCCATTATAACACAATCTTTGAATATTGAAAACCTTTTACTCTTTGAGTATTCATAAAATAGTGTGATGCTATTTTAGCCAAATTCCTAATTCTATATCTTAAGAGTGGTTATCTTAAGTGTGAGTTTTAGGTTCTAGTTATTTGATTGAGTGTGTAATATCTTGATTAAATACTAGAGTTTAACCCCAAGTTAATCTAGAGGTGAGCTTATCCTTTAGTATTAATTTGGCTCCAAATTAAGATAAGAGTGTGTTTATCTCTTATTCCTTATTTGGAATTTATCCCATCCTTTCTAAACCCATCCTTCACCCCTGATTTTCCACTCTTCTTCATAATATCAAAACCCAAAAAGAACTCCTGCACATTCCCATATTTTCATCCAGCCCATTTCCCCTTCATTATTCCACAGTTCCATCTCCAAAAATAACAACTTGATAAGACCCCCGGTTCAACCCTAACACAAACGCTCCCCACCTATTCATGGGTAGGGGAAGTGAGTCTTTAAATTCATCAAAGAGGTTGTGTCTTTATTTTTTGGGCCCTTGAACTCTACCTTTTGAGGGTGGTGCCTATATTTTTCCCCAAGCAAGTACTAGGAACCATTTTTATAAATACCCCATTTGTCTCAATCTTTCGCTTTTGATGTTTCATTGCAGGGTTCTTCATTTCTTCCATTCTTCAATTTGATTGCTGATGGAAAAATTGACTTTGAAAAGTATCCTTTAGTGGGGGAGTACGATGTTGCTTATATGCTTGGGGTGCGGTTCTCTTACGACTCAATATCAATATATTTGCTTGTAATTGCTTTATGATATTGAGCTCCGTCCTAATCCCTCCATGCAGAGATTTTGGATCGAGGCCTCATGCACAGTGCCATTTCATAACCAATGCCCGGTAATGTATTCTTGTAGCATATGTTATTTTACTTCCATTTCTCCTATTTCATGCTTGGTGAGATTGGATAGTTTCCCTAGGATATTGGTTGATATGTTTGTTTGGAAGAATGATTCAACTACCCTCAGGTTAGCCACCCACTCATAACTAGTGGTCTTTAGTACAACATTACCCCAGTGCCTCAACGGCTCCCGCCCATGGCTGGGTAGGGGGTTGGATGTACGCAGTCTTACCCTATGTTTAAAACATAGAGCGGCTGTTTCCATATGACCTGATAAGCGTCGAAAGTTGCATTGACAAACTGCTACTTCACTATTGCAAGAAGTACATAAAGAGCCAATTTGCTTTATTCCATCATACCAAACAACAATTTGCATTGACTAACCGCTACCAATTTGCTTTATTCCATCATATCCAAAGCCAAAAAAAATTGCTTTAGAAATTAAAAAAAAATTTCCCCATTTGCTTTAGTAAAAAATTTGCTTAAGTAAAAAAAATGCTTTAGTTTAAAGAGTCAATTGGCTTTATTTACTAGTGGTCTTTAATAAATAAAAAATTTATTTATATACTCCATTCAAAATCACTTTGCCCATTTCTCTTTGTACACTTGCCGAGGCAAGTTTCATTTCGTTATTATCTTTAATTATATATTAGTAAAAATTCGTTAATATCTACAATTATATACTCCCTCCGTTCATTAAAACTCTTTCTCATTTTTTTCGCTCTCGCCAAAACACTTTCCTTTTTTTGATTAAAATGACTAATATATCCAAATAAAGTGATTGCAATATACTCCATCCATTTATCATTGATATAACAAGTTATTTAAGTGATTTGTCTCTCTTTTCTTTTCGACACTAATGATTTAATTGGAAAGTCAAATTACAAAAATAAATCCTGCAAAAGTAAAAACAAGAGCTGTTTTAGTGAACGGAGGGAGTATTAGTAAAAATTATAAAACTTTGATATCCATAGGGTACTCACAAACAAGAATCGAATAAGACCCCATATGATTATATTTTCTCATATAAATTAGGAGAAGTTTAGAAGATTCTCCTTGTGAATAGTGTCAATAACATGAATAGAGGGAGTATTTTTTTACACAACCACCCCATTGGTAATTTATTTGTCGTCACCAATTATTTTAAGAAGGTTGTCAACCAAACATGGTCCATTTGTGAGTTGTATGACTGATTTATAGTTATGCACTTATGCGTCTTCTTTGATTTCTAGTGGTAGTAAGATTTTTATTTTCCTATCATCCCGTGGACCTCGGGTTGATTGTAATTGCTATTGTTGTAGTCAAGTAGTTTTTTGAGTGGATGATACGTAAGTTGAGTTTTACTGCGCAAAACTACTATATATATATACACACACACATACATACATACATATATATATGTGTATGTGTGTGTGTGTATAAACACAAACACACACACACACAACAAATAAAGAAGAAAAAGTCGGTGGCCCCAAAATGCACTAGTACAAGTTTCAAAAATGAACAAGTGCAGAATGCACCGTGGTAGAGCCAAAATGCACCATTTTCAACTGAACCGCACACCCTATATATACACACACACACACACACACACACACACATATATATACACACACGCACACACACATACACACACACACTAGTGAGAATGAGATCTAATGTAAGAAGTGAGAATGCATGTGGTGCAATAGAGTGTAAGATCTAAGGGTCATAAAAACTTAGAAAAATGATCAAAAATCTAGAAATACGCGGTGGCATTTTAGTAAATAAGTCAAACTTTTATGCAATGTACATGTGCATCATGATGGACAAAAAATGCACACTTTTCATTTCTCTCACTAAGAGCATTATATATATATATATATATATATATATATATATATATATATATATATATATATATATATATATCTAAAGTTGATAGGGCAGAAATTTGAATGATGCGTCGCCAGCACTATGGCCTTGCGATCCGTCAGTGTCCGTTTTCAGCGTGCGATCACTTTCTAGAAAGGACTCAACGAGACGCAGACGTGCCCTCAACCCAATGGCTTGAGGCGCAACTTGCGTTCAAAGTTTCGAAGCTGCCGGTTTTGGCTCTTTGATTGCGACCCCAAGTCAGGCGAGATTACCCGCTGAGTTTAAGCATATCAATAAGCGGAGGAGAAGAAACTTATATATATATATATATATATATATATATATATATATATATATATACATACTCCCTCCGTCCATTTTTAATGTTCAGGGTTTGACTGGGCACGGAGATTAAGAAAAAGTGTAAATGTCATTGACTTTACCAAAATACCCCCACCCCTTCTCTTTTGTTCATCAGCTCTTTTCCTCCGTCTATTTTTTTACACGCAGCGGACCAACAGCATCCACCGGCCTAGGTTGCACGAGTTCGGCGGTTTGGTGCCGCCTCCCGCTCTGGAAGCGACGCGGGGACGGATTCGCCGGCGGGTACAGCGACTGGCGAACCGGATCCGCAGCTCAAGCTTCGGAATCGTCTGCGTATTCAATAGGACGGATCCGGAAACTCAGAGACGAATCCTGCCGCCTCCCGCTCCGCGACGACCTCTGACAGCCGCCGCTCCGCGGCTACCTTTGACTGCTGCCTCACCTCCGGCCCCTGCGATTTCTAAAATTTTCAAATAAATTTGAAAAAAAAAAGTTCCATAGATCTAGAAAAAGGAAAGAAGGTAGCGAGCAAAATTTTCAGGGATAAGAAGAAGAAGAAGACGAGGAGGAGGAGGAGGAGGAGGGCAAATATGACATTTAACTTAAACTTTTTTACTAAATAAGGAAACATGAACTTTATTTGTGGACGGACGAAAAAGGAAAGTACGAACATTAAAAATGGACGGAGGGAGTGTGTGTATATATATATATATATATATATATATATATATATATATATATATATATATATGAAAACACAAATAGGACACATGTTTTAATTAAAAGAAAACATGTATGGTAACAAGGTCGACTACCAGAAACAAGAATGGAAGTATTAAATAAAAAGCTCAATATAAAGAAAAACTAGCTGGGCAAAAAAAATGTGATGAGAAGTTGACGTGAACTTGAAAGTAGAGGAATTGCGATTACTAGATTCTAAGGGCAATAACTGTGAGTATTTGCGTGTGAGTAAATGTATTTATTCAGTAATACGTATAACAGAGAGTCGTCGGAAGGGTCATATCGCGTCAAAACCAGAGGGATTTACCTGTTGATTAGAATTTTAGCAAGTGAAAAACTTGTTTCCGTCAATCCAGGCGATCCTACGCTCCCACAATCCACCACTCCGATCCAAACGATTTGCGTTAATTCTCGATCTTTCTCGTGATTCAGATCACAAACCCTAAGGCGATACTCAAAATCTTAGGATTGTACGATCCAACTTGCGATTTTGACTATCTTTGTTCAACTCTTATAACACTCAAAAATAGTATGAAGAAACTCTCCTCAAGACCCTTTTCATTAATCATATATTTATACTAACTAGTCATGCCTAACTTGGTTTAGACTGGAGAGAAGAGGATATCTGAGATTCTTATACGTAAAATTGTGTGACAATTGCTTTTTTTTACTGTTTTTTACAAAATATTCATAACTTATATTTTAGAAAATATTTGTTATTGAGTATATGTGTTGAATTTTCTTTGGATGAATTGAGTTGGGAGTCTTTGAAGTGAGTCGGGTATTTCAAAGACTTTCTTTTAGACTTTCCTCATTTTGGAGAAAAGAGTTCTAAGACTCTCTCAAGACTGCCACTGGGGATGCCCTAAACAACTAGGAAAGGCTCAAACTCGTCAGTTTCTTATTCCAGCGTAAAACTAGACAGGCAATCTTAAAACATCCCCAACTTCTTCGTTACATATTGAAAATAGGCGTATGGCCACTTTTTGGAAAGGTAAGATCAAGAATTTTCATCTCGAGCAAGATTCACCTCAAAATGAGTCATATAGTTTAAAATATCACGTCTGCAAGGTGACCACACAAATTTGAGCTAATGCTCCTGCGTTAGTGGATGCTTCGATTGGTCTTTTATAAGTTTTAGGGGCATCCATGTTCATATCACTTTGGGAGTAGCTATTGCCCACTGCTGTGGCCTGTGGTATTTACTCAATTATTGAGAATGTTTTCAACATAACATTTTCAAGTTGCTGAATTTCCAAGTTTGGGATGACCATTTTTTGTGTAGTGTCATCAAGTGGGACTGCCGGGTGGGTGTGGGTTGTGAGTTGTGTGACACTTTAGTTTGCTCTTGGTTAATCAGTCTGGTAGGTTTGTAAGGGTCCCACTGTTTTGTTTGTGCTCTACTTCTGATGTGCATCTCTTTCTCTGCCTCTTTTTTTTAGGTCAACAATTGTATGATGAAGGAGAAGGTGAAGGTAAATCTTGGGCTTGATCTACATCTCTCTTACATTTGAACTCTGATTACTTGTGTCTTTTATATTAATTTTTTTATTTTTCTTTTATTCCGTTATTTATTCATTTATTTTTTGTGATTGCAGGTTTACTCTTATATAGCAGATACAATCGGCCGTGCCATGGAAAATAAGTCGATACCGGTAAACACTCGTGTTTTTCTCATTTTTTTGGTTTTGGGCACTATGCTACAATAATTACACACGAGTTTTGATTTGAAACTATTACAAGTAGATCTTAATATACTAAATTGCTTATAAAACGGTGCATATGAGAACTATTAATACAACAACCACAACAACAAATTACCTACTGCCCCATAGGTGGTGAGGGAGTCGGATGTCTGCATCATTTCCCTAGTGTGTGTTTGTGTGTATGAAAAGAACACTCGGGGAGTTTCTGGATGACCCTGGAAATCTTGTCGATATTTGCATTGAAGTGCATACGGTTTGCTAAGCCATTTTGCTTAATTCTAAAACCAGATGTTAGTGAATCTTTGGCTCCACTAGAAATGTAAACTTTCTGAGAACTATAATGATGCTTCTTCAATAACTGCCAAATCATGTCCTCTGAGGTGATTCTTGTCTTTATTGCCCCATTTGTACAACAAGTTCCTGCAATCACTATCCTGCCTTGTGAGATTGTTTTTGTGAGATTGTTTTTCTTAGGACTGTGAGACAGGACCAGTTTAAAGTAAAATAGAATACTTTATTGCTGTATACTGTACAGGATTATTTGTGTTCTCTTAATATAAATAGAGAACAGACCAACATGTCTTTTACTAACCAACACAACTATTACAAACCAACACACCTATTAACTATAGAAACTACCCATAACTACCTTTTAGAAACTACCCACTGTTGTTTTTTTAATTAATTAAATATGTAAAACACACTAAACGACACCACACTAACTGACCCGAACATCGACTCATTACCCATTCGGGTATATGTGAACAAACCCGATTAAATCTAACAGTCACGCCCTTATTTGTTGTTTGTTCACACCGATCTTCACAACAACGTTGGTTCATCATGTTCAATCAAATTTGCAATTTGTTCCTTTTGATCCCATTTTGGAAAAATGCCCTAACTCATTGCACTTGAAACACTTAATGTGACTCTTATCCCGCTGAAACCGACCACCATCCTGACCTTTCCTGGACCTCGACCTCTACCTCGGCCACGTCCAAAGTCTTCTCGGTTTGAGCTCCAGCAACCACAATGCTCACATTTGTGCTCCTGAACCTTCTCTTTTTCATCACCTTTAGTGAATAGTAGTTTACCATGTGTATCTCCTTCCTCAGTTGGCTTTTTGATGCTTTCCTCGAATGCTTTCAATTTTCCAACCACTCCTTGAAACGACATTGTGTTAATGTCAGCAAACTGTTCAATTGCAGTAACGATCTGTATGAACTTTTCAGGTATAGAACCCAAAAGCTTTCAAACCAATCTTTTGTCTTCAAATGCAGACCCAAGGTTATTTGCTAGTGTTGCAAGTTGACTAATTTTACCAGCAAAATCATCAAGTGACTCATTGTTCTTCATCTTTAGAGTCTCAAAATTTGATTCAAGTGTCTGTAATCGCGCCGCTTTAACCCTGTTAACACCAACGAAGCGAGTCTTCAAAGCATCCCAAATTTTTTTTGCTTCAGTAAACTGAGCAACTTGTAGCACGCAATGTTCGAAAAGGCGTATTGCGGTTTTGAGGCGTTTTCATTTCATGGCGTATTGCGTAAGCCTTGAGGCGTTTTGAGGCGTAAGCCTCAAAACTTAAATTGAAAAACATTCACAAAACAATTTAAAACCAAAGATAGAACATAATGTATAACATAAATAATCCAATAACATGAAAAAAGTATATTGTCAAAGTAATACATCGCAAACATAACAAAGTCTAACATGGAATCAGACATAATATTGCTCGAAGTGATGAGCTTAAATTGAAGAATTGAAAAAAAGTTAATCAGTGTCTAACGGCTTGAAATTAGGATCAAAAGATGTTGCATTTCCTTCATTCTCTTCCTCGGAATTGATGAAAAAATCTTCTCTAATAGGATCTCGAAGCATAATATCATCTTCTTCATCTTCATCAACTTCATCAATAAGTTGTATTGCTTTTCTTTTCCCAAGGCGTTGCCTTTTTGAATGATGTCCTTCATTTCTTCCTTGGCCACTTGGGTTGGTGATTGTTTCACTAGCAGTATCACCTTGAGTATGAACTTCAGGACCATCACCATGAACATCATCACTCTCGACAATCATATCAGCTTCATGAACAACCCACTCATCATTTGAAGGAATTTCATCCATCACCAACGGATCTTCCTCAACTTTCAATGATGCTTTCTTCATCCATTTACTTTTCAATCTTTTGTTGTACATCACGTAAACCATTTTATTCAAATTCTTGGTATGCAAGCGATTTCTCTTCTTCGTATGGATCTACAAATTAAATATGTGTAAGTCGATGGATCAGAATACAAAATGTAGATATGTGGATATGTATACCTGATTAAATGTGCTCCAATTTCTTTCACACGCAGATGACAAACATGTAAGACTCAAGATTCTGATCGCACATGCCATTAGTTCATGAGTCTCATCTCCATATTGGGTCCACCAATCAACTATATTATTTATAAAAAATAGGTGCATTAACAATATATATATATATATATATATATATATATATATATATATATATATATATTATTTAAAATCGGTAATGATATTTGGTAAGAGCAATTTACTTACCAGGACTCCGTTTATACACAGTGTTTTGTGCAACGTCATGTCCAAAGAATCCCCGCTTCAGTCGAAAGTCATCCATTTGCAAATGAAGTTTTTCTAGGATCTTTGGATCTGGAAATAGTTTAGCCATACATCTAAATAATCCTGCTTTCACCTCTGGATGTGTAGACATTTTCGGATCATACTGAAAGCGAGGATTGAGGTAATACGCTGCAGCGTGCAAATCCCGATGCAACTGTAATTCCCACCTCTTATCAATTATTTTCCAAATCTCATTATAAGAGCCAAAGTCTCGCCCTAAATTCTCAGAAATTTCTTCCTTTGCTCGATCCATACAACCATATAGAAACCCCATACCGGGTACCATCTCTGAATCTGCCATTCTCAACACTATAAACAATGGCTTTGTTGTTTGGACTGAATACTGCACGCTCGGCCAGAAATATTTATCACGCAGAATTATTTGTTTCACAGCTTTTGCCTCTTGTGTTTTGGATAAATGGTGTGCATTCCATTCCTTTGAAACACACATTTCCTCCAACTGCTCTTTAACGCCTAGCATACTTTCAAGTGTAAGATAGGCCGTACCAAACCTTGTAGCCGCAGGACGAACAAGATCTCGTTTTGTAAACTCTCGCATCAATGCCAATGACCATCCGTGATTATATATGTAATGAGTCACCTACCATAATTTATAAATATAATATAAGATAATGATAAGGTAATTGAATGTTTGGTTGGAAAAACATTTTAGATTGAAAAAATGAAATGCATTACCTTCTTTGCTTTCACCAACGCATTCTTGTGTTGAGGAAGCTTCCCAATATCCTCTAGCATCAAATCAATACAGTGTGCCGCACATGGTGTCCACCACAGTCGCTTTCGTTTTTCAGATAACTTCTCACCGCCAGCCTTGTAGTTCGAAGCATTATTGGTAACAATCTGAGTCACAATGTCTTCACCTACCTCTTCTACAACCTCATCAAATAGATTGCACAACATATCCGCATCTTTTACATGACGAGAAGCATCAACCGTTTTTAAGAAAACAGTGCCATAAGGATTGTTAACAAGAAAATTTATTAACTGTCTTCCTCGCATATCTTTCCACCCATCAAAAAGTATGGACACCCCAGTTTGTGTCCATGTCTTTTTCACGTCATCAACAATTTTTTGAGTTGTTTTTACCTCTTCATCCAAGATCCAATGGCTCAATTCATACGGTGTAGGTGGCTTAAAACCCCTGCCAAAAATTCCAATTGCACGACACATGTTTATGAACGAATGAGAATTTGCAACATGAAATGGAATACCATTCTCAATATAAAATCTTCCCACATCTAGGCAAACTCTATCTCTAGCTTCCCTTTCGCTCATTGGTTTTTCTGGAATAGTATCAGGAGTATCAACATTAACATCCACAACAAATCTATCCATTAGACCGCGCACTCCTCTATTGGAGTTGCTACCACCTCTTGATGAACCAACAATTGCCTCTGTATTTCGGTAGTACGCACCACTATCAATGAGCTCCTCCCGATTTCTCAAGTTCACCTGTTTCGTTTGTACATCCAAATTCAAAGTAGATAACATCTCTTGTTGAACTTCATCAGGAACCTTTTTACAAGGTGCTAAATTTTTCCTTGTACCAGCACTATTTGGTTGGAATGCTTCTGCCAAAAGAAAAAACTAGCCACTTGCTATTCTTTTTCTTAGGCGAGGAAGAATCTTGTCGAAGATTTTTGATCTGCTGTCAAGGAAGTCTCTAACGCTTTGTTTTATGATCTGGCAGCCCTTTTGCTCTCGATCACACACCTTCTGTTCACAAGGCAGACCGCTCCCTTTGATCGTTGGGTCCTAGTTGGATAGTCGCTCTGATACCATTTGTGAGACAAGACCAGATTAAAGTAAAATAGAATATATTTTATTGTTGTAAACTGTACAGGATTATTTGTGTTCTCTAAATATAAATAGAGAACAGACCAACACGACTTTTACTAACCAACACAACTATTACAAACCAACAAACCTATTAACAATAGAAACTACCCATGACTACCTTTTAGAAGCTACCCACTGTTGTTTTTTTAATTAATTAAATATGTAAAACACACTAAACGACACCACACTAACTGACCCGAACATCGACTCATTACCCATTCGGGTATATGTGAACAAACCCGATTAAATCTAACAAGGACCCATTTGAACTTTGCTGACTTTGAAAGTATTGAAAAAAGCAGGGCTATGTGCTTGAAGATCATCATTTTGGCTTTAAAGAGGTCATATTGTGAAATTGTAGCAATACTATGACAATGTGGTTTTCAAGTGTGGCTTCTTAGTAAGAAACAAGAAGATTTCCCACTATGTTGCACAGAAACACCGGGTAGGCCACACTTATCCGTGTCGGAGACCTTGGACACGCGGAGACGCATGGGAGACGGCGAAAAAACGTCTTAGAAATTCCACGTGGTGTTTCTTTAATTTAAAATTTTAAAAAAAAATCTGGGAGACGCAGGGGAGACACGTCTCCCTTTCAGAAACGGCTGAGAGACGAGATTGTACGATCGGATTGCAGCTACAATAGAAAAGGGGAAAAAGTCGAAAATAAGAAGAAGAAAAATAAGAGAAAGTCGCTCACCTTTTTGAATTGATTCGTCTCCCAGAAACTCTCTTTCCTCTGCGACTTGTGTTATTATTGGAAGAGTCACGGCTGCTAGGCTTTTATTTTATGGAGAGAAATAAAGGACTTTACCCTAAAACCTTCCCACTTCCCTGCCTTTTAGTCTTTTAAAGTTATTCTTTATTGAAGAAAAATCATAAGATGTGACCTTATACCTATTTCTAATTTATTTGGATGTTATGAATATGTTATATGACTTTTTATTTATTATACACAATTTTAAACATTACATTATACACAGCATATTTATTTATTTATTTATAAATTCGGCGTATCCCCAGTGTTTTGTCTCTCCATTTCTTAAAAATAGCCGTTTTGCATCTCCGTTTTGTATCGGCTCCGTCCCCGTCTCCGTTTCGATGATACATAGATTTCCTAGGTAGAGATTCAAGATCAAAGCACCAATGATTGAAATGGCATTGCGCAATACGCCATGTTGCCCGCCTCATGTCTTTTTCCGAAGAAAAATTCCTTGTGGCAATCTAGCCATAGGCCATATGGGTTTCAAAGTTATGGTGCAAGAAGGCTACGCAATGAGGCATACACCATTTTTTAAAAATTTAGATTAAATTTTAATTAGTAATTTAATTAGAACAATTTAAACGTTAAATTACCGACCCTAGTTTATCAATACCTCCAATCTCCTCTTCTATCTTATGTTTCATCTTTGTGTTCTTCATCTGCGACTTCATCCCTCTTTGGTAGTCTTCATGAATTCATCTCCCCTTCAGTCTCCCCTTCTTTTATTTGTTTTTATTCGTTTATATTTGTTTAATGATAACATTTTATTCTCACTAATTTGGTATCAATTTATTGCTTTTAGTTTTTATTGTTACCAATTTGCCATTAAAACTTGAAAACTATATGCACATAAACTTTTAAGTTTTACCTTTTTAGTAAAACATATTACTTAAATGTCAGACGTAGCTCTCGACAATTCATGTCTTTTGCCTACAACCAATATTTTGTACTATGTCATGGTAGACTTGGTTTCTTTTGCAACATTTTACTTTAACAATATACTTATTTAATGATTATGGATTAATTATACTATTAATAATCTTCTGTCTTCAATTTTAATATAATTTGATGCACATCTTACTATCTTGATACTTTAAAATGAGGCTTACGCCTCAATACGCCTCGAGGCTTACGCAATACGCGATGGGGAAAAAACGCCTCAAAACCACAATACGCCATTTCGAATGCAAAGCACATAAAATTACATTTTGGCCTTTATGACCAGGACATGTATTGCTATTGATCACTGTGGTACCAGAGAATTTGAGAGAAGTTGACTTTGATGAAAAGTGTGACCCAGGTGGCATGAATATAACTATTGCTATAACCCCTATTGGCCGGTGTGTATTGTGTGTATGGACTCATTACTTGATTGGCCCTAACCCCCTGGTAAACCCCCACATCCCTGCCCGGCCCTAACGCACCCCTGCATCCCCTCCCATTGCACAACTTTTTTGTTTTTTTTGACTTTGTGGTCAAATATTTGACCAAATGATAAGTATTGCTAGTAAGCCATTTTACTTTAATCCATCATATTTCACACTCAAAAAATAGTGAATCATTGGCCCCATTAAAATGAAGAAAATGGCTTAGGATAACATGCATTTTTTAGTTTAGCAGCCTCAACGCATTATATCCTTATTTGATTTTATCTTCTGGAATCTGGTTTTACACAATGTTTTTGGGAATATGATATCGGGTCCGATCGGTAACCATGTATTCATGTACTATACCCCTTTTAGGTTGCTCCTCGCCATGGTAGTCAAACTCGCGATCTGACTCGTACGATTCTACCAGTGGAATTCAGTGGACTCGGACGGATCGGCGATTCGGCTCGTGTAATCGCAAGATCGCAATCAATCGGCGATTGTGAGAAGCCCAAAGACCTAAACGCAGCGTCGCTTCAAAATCCACTCCCAATCGCAACTTTGAATTTGTCGGGAATTTCAATCGGAAAGTCGCGTCTGTCGCGACTCCCAAAGACCAAACCCAGCGTGTGTATCTGCTTCTATTTATTTGGGACCTATTTATTTGGGACTCCGACTCCCAATGTGCTTCTAATCGCCATTCCCAATCTGCTTCTATTATTTATCTGCCGATTTGGGACTCTTATTTATCAGCCTTCCTTTTCTGCTTCCTTCTGCAGTTTTGCGATTATTTATCAGTCGCGACTCTCTTACAATGTCAATCCCTACTTCCGCCACCCCATTTTGCTTGAGGATTATGATTTTAGCATTGATAATTATGTTTTAGATGTTTAAGAATAAAGTTTTAAGTCATGTGTGATTGAACTTGAACTTGTGTTATGTTTTATTAAAAATTAATTATAACATATATATAATATGTGTATATATGTGTGTGTGTGTGTGTGTGTATATATATATAATTATATATATATATATATACATATATATATATATACACATATATATACATATATATATATACATATATATATATATATATACATATATATATATGTGTGTGTGTGTGTGTGTGTATGTATATACATATATATATATATACATGTATATATACATATATATACATACATATCTATATATATATATATGTGTGTGTGTGTGTGTGTATACATATATGTATATAATGAAGATCGTAACATCGTAAGATCCTACTATATATATATATATATATACATATATATATATATATACATACATATACATACATACATATATATACATATATATATATATATACATATATATATATATATATATACATACATACATACATACATACATATATATATATATATATATATATATAGTAGGATCTTACGATGTTACGATCTTCATTATGCTTATCTATCCTACGTAGAATCTAGAGTTTGACTACCATGCTTCTCGCTATATATAATCTATAAAGATAAATCAGTTAAACCTGTTTTGAATTGGCTAAAACAACACACTGTTCTAGTTTCAATGGCTTTTATCTCCCATAGATAAACCTACTTTGCTGCAGTGATGCACAATAGATCAATATTAGGGTGCAGAATGCTGTTACTGTACAATGGTCTTTTTCCTTTTCTGGCTGGTAAGCAGATGTTTGCTAATAACCAAGCAAACAATAAAATTTGGGTTTAAAGAGGAAGGACGTACCTTCCGAGGAGGGCTCTCCGTAAAAAATAAGAACCAAAACAAACACTTGAATTTAGCGTTTACAACTGGTCAATGACAACCTTTCTACAAATTTAGCAACATGCAGCAGCATTGAGATATGTAGAGTAAAGAGAGGAAGAAAGATGCATTGGTACATGTTTTGAATGGTTCTCCAGGTCATTTAGATTAGGATGCACTATTGTTGAGTTGTTGATTTCAGTTGGCCTGGATCATGATCCACTTTTCAAGCATTGATGTGGTCATTTCTGAGTAAACTATAAACAAAATTCTTGTTCTATTTTGAGATATTTTAAATTAGCTGTTGTATGACTAATAACGCCGGTTGAGAGTTGAGACTACCTGTTCTATTTATGATTTAACTTCAAAACCTTGGTTTTGCAATAGCTTTTCATTGAAGATAACATTTTTGTTCCATGAATGTCTTGTGATAGGTGGTTGATTTTAGAAAATTACTTCCCAACGTTCTGGATGGTGGCACTATTACCACACAGGAAATGTGCCTTATTGATATTTCAGACAAAATTGTCACGGACGCGCTCCATGAAATCGAAGCAATCGAGCTGTCAGAATTCTTTTGTAACTATGCAATTGAGTCGTCCAAAGAAGATCTTCTTTCTCTTGTAAAGAGACTTGTTTGGGATGAGGTTATCAGCAAAAGACGCTTGGTATGAGTACAAGATTCCTGTTTGTTTCTAATTCCTTCTTCCTTTTTCCCTTTTTCCTGAAAAAAGAGAATACTTGCTATGATCGTCCAAACAGTTTGGGTTTGTATTTTATGATCGTCCACCCTTTGCTATGTATGTTGAGTACACGTGTGATTTCCTTTCACATTCTGTTACAGTTTATGGCCGGTATACACTGGGTCATTCAACCATTTATGCATTTGCTTATTGCATTTGATTTCTATTCATCAGAAGAAGTGGAATGTCTGATCAAACTAGCTGAATGTTGCCGTAAAGCCGAAAGTACCCGTTTTATCAGAAGAGAGCACTTTGTTTGGGCATTTCAGGAAAAAAAATTTGGTAACTCTCCAAAATTGGTTGATCACCTAACTTGGGTGTGCTCAGATATTTTATTCCAAACTTAGGCCCTGTCCTCTTCTCCTGAATTTGCTGTAAAGAACTGAAATTGCAGAATTGGTGAACTGAACTGAAAGAAACTAAATTTTTTATTAACTGAAATTGCTGAAAGTTACTGAAAATAATGGAAGGAACTGAAAATGCAGAATTTGCTGAACTGAACTGAAAGTCACTGAAATTTTTGAACGTAACTGAATTTCAGATGAAAAGAAAAGGGTCTTAGCCATATTTACGTTTGCTCATTATTGATTTGCATTGGCATCCCTTTATTCTTGGTCATTTGCAGTTCTTCCTTCGTGGATGAAGCTCGAGGAAGGATCAAGCAAAGCTGATGGTGCCAATCCTCCTTATCACATATATGCAACTTCTATCATGTTGGCGAAGTATCTAGGTATGATCTGCCTCTGTCCTGTTCTCTCTTTTCATGAAATTTTAAAAATTGTATGACAGATTCTGCGAATGGTGTCACCAAGCTACAATTGTTGTCAGCGGAATTTGTTTTGGTGTAAAAGATTGCTGGACAGCCACAATGATTGATTCTGAGTTTTAATTTGCTTCCCCTCTTTGTACTGCAGGGGATAAGTGTGTTGAAGTAGAACATTTGGCTTATGCATCCATTTTCGGGAAGCATATGGAATTCGAATCGGAACAGGTATCATTATTAGCTTGAACTGTATTGAAAAAGGTTGTTCCCCCTTTTATCATTGAAGCGACCCAAATTTCTTTTGAATATGTAGGTTACGTCTTTCAGCTAACTTTATTTTCATTACCTTACTTTATAAGTAATTTCTTCGGGATGTGTAGACTTGTTTCTCTGATTACTTTCTGATTTGTGTTAGTTCTCTTTTTGTTTCTAGTGTAAGTTATTGGCCAAACATTATAAGGAAATTTGCAGCAAGGGCTTTGAAAGAGCGGATAATGCATATCCTTTGTAATCAATTCCCTCTTTCTCTTGCAAGTTGCAAATGTACAAAGTGTCTACGAAGATTCAAGTTGTCAACAAGTTCTGAAAGTTTAGCTTCATCTATTTAGGTTAGTTTGAAGATATTTATCAGGATTAAAAGTTAATACTCAAAGGCGTGTTGTCAAGTTAAACATATACAACTAGCTTGAAGACGTTTATCATAAGTTGATAATGTGGTAATGGTAGCAGTTTAAATGAAAGAGTACAAAGTGGATGACCATCAGAATGGGTATTCACTTCCAAAAATGTGTTTTTTGTTAGGTGTGAAATAAGTGAATTGTTCATCTTTTTCAAATAATTAGAATAAAGCTCCAACTAGTTTCACCATAATTCTACTTTCTCTGCATGGGTATATTTAATCCCAAAGTGTAATCATCTTGTAGTTGTATCTGTCAATTGCATAATCTTCAATTTGTAAGTGTTCATACTAAGCCTCCCCATTATAAAGATAGACTTTTAGTATCCCTCAATAGAGAAAAATCAGAAATATCATGTCTTTCATATTCTAAATATTCTCTCTCATTTCTTAACACATTATCACCATGAATTTACTCAAAATCTATGAAATCTCGTTCTTCTTGTGAAAAATTAAAAAGACAAAATATGTAGACAGACTTATGAGCGAGAAAAAACTCTTGGTACTAAAGAAAATCAGTATAGAGACTTATATTCATAATGCATAGCTCTCTTATCAAACTCCTACAGGTTTCCAAAAATCAAATGATTTGTGGCCATAGGTGTTACATAGCATAAAATTTCGTCCTCATATCTTCCAATAGAAAATGAAACTAATGCCTACTTGGTTATTTTAATTTCTCATTTTCTCTACCAAACAACCTGCCAAGACTAAAATAGGCAATTCCTTCGTAATTTGATCCTATCGGGTTGTGTGTGACTCCTATTTGTCTTTTATGACCCATTTTACTCATTTGTCCTTGACCCCTTTCTTTTTGGTCTACTCAATAATAGCTCACATCCCCAAATGACTAATCAATTCAAAACACTAAATCACATATATAGACTAAAATGTCAACCAAAAAGCAAAATGTAATATGTAACACCCTAATTTGTATATTCTCATCAACTATTCCAAATTGAAGAGTAAGGAATAAAAACCAATACATACTTTTTATTCAAATAACATTTTTATTCAAATAAAATTTATATAACCATTTTTATAAAAACAGATTTAGTTGTTATGTCCTGCACTTACACAGTATATCTATTGAGTTGTAGAAAATAATATAGGACAAAATCTCGTAAAAATAATATTTTACAAAATATAAATATAAATATAAATATAAATATAAATATAAATATAAATATAAATATAAATATATATATATATATATATATATATATTTTGGTTCAGGTGAGAATGCAATCTAATGAAAGAAATAAGAATGAATCTGGTGCATTAGATTGGGAGATCTAAGAGGTAGGATTGTATCAAAATTAGGTGCACCAAGATGGTTTGAAAATGCATCATGTCGAAATGCACCATAATCCTTTGAAAATGCACTATTTCAAAATTTGAGTGCAGAATGCAATCTGAGACGCACGATGAATCAGATCCAAAGGCCAGATTTTATTCTTATTTCTTTCACCAAGGTGCATTCTCACTTGAACCAGCCCCCATATATATATATATATATATATATATATATATATATATATATATATATATATATATATATATATTGGTATCCCCATATGTATATACCTATATATATATATATATATATATATATATATATATATATATATATATATATATATATATATATATATATATATATATATATATATATATATATATATATATATATATATATATATATATATATATATATATATATATATATATATATATATATATATATATATATATATATATATATATATATATA